CTTGAATTCCGCCCTACGCCAAGTGAAGTGATGAAACGAGATTTGCAACGTCGTTTAATTAAAGAGAGAAAACACAATTCGCGGTGAATAGTATTTTTTTATTCTAATTTGAACCTTATTTGTTCGGCGATTATTTTTTGCGTAAATACGCGAATGTAAACTTTAATTAAAATTAAAAAGGGAAGATACGGCACAAGCGTTTTGTAAGTAGACGCTACAAAATAGGTTCACGCACGTTATTTCGCTTTTGACACTATTAGTACTCCGATCGATCACTCTACAGAGGACACATGTTAAGAACAAAAACATGCGTGAAATTCAGCAGATATAATGTCGTACAAATGTCTGGGTGTAATGTAAATATTTTTTTTACTCAATTTGATTTTAAAAATGTTACTACACGCCACCACCTTGTTCTTATCTTTTTCATGTTTTTGACTTTTGTGCTCACTTAGAATATAATTAATTCTACATATGTGTATTTATTCTGGCACCTTCAAAATTATATTTCATGTAAAAATTCGTTCAATTTATGTGCATCAAAATATTTTCTTTCCAATGCTATAAGAACTACGAGAAGAAACAGCGTTCCACTATACTATAGAACAGGTTAAAATCACACAACAAAAAATCTGTGCAGAGTATTTGCAGAGTGTTCGCCAAACCGGCGTCGATGCTTTCATCGCTAAGTTAGCATTAAGTAGAATCGTTAAACTTTTAGATTTGCAAAAGAAGTTGCGTGAATTTTCATTATAAACAAAAAGAAACTTGGCTGTAGCTTTTGTTGTCCTTTTTGTTATTTATTAAGTTGTGCGTTTGCCCATCAATATTTTTTCACAAGGAAACATTGAGGTATATGTTGAAATTAACATGAAATATAGACTACAATCCCTGGGGGTTGTAAAAAAATTAAGTCTAAAATTTGAAGTAAGCAAAAATGCGATGTTCTTATACCTCATTTTTGATATTTCCAAATAAATATGAGGCATCAAGCAGGGCCTGAGCATAGTTTTTGTTCAACGAATATCTCATGCAAAGAAAATCTGTGAGAATTCATCTGTTGCTTTATCCAATATAAACGAATTATACACCATGCAGTTGTGTTAAATAAAAGTGTGTTACTGATTTCTGTAGCCTATTCTAACCTGTTCTAACAGAGGATCATGCGCTAATCGCAAGATTTCATCATTTAAGGATCGGTGTATAACTAACGGAAGATGTGTTGCGCGTATCGTCCGTCGTTGAACAAATATTACTATATTACTTGTTTGCATTGGATAGGTTCTAAAATTACTGGACCTATTTTAAAAATAATTTCACCTACGGCAAGCTACTCCGGGTAACATGGGTAATAATTTACTCAGGCAAAATCGCAGAAAAATAGCTAGTATATGATATGACATTCAACCTTGCACACGCGACAGATGATCTGTCTATAATACTTCCGTGATACGTTCGACGGATCTTCAGTCATGTTTGCGCCGAATCTAACTCTCTGCATAGTTGTCAGTGTTATGAATGGCTACAATAGATCACACAATTAATATTGCTGTGTCGTATTTGTGATGGGCTCGATACCGCGGCGGTCTATTGTCCGTTCACTTCACATTAGCATCTGTTGGTGCACTGTGATGTCATGCAGCGGCGCTATTGTGTGCCACTTGTAACCGAGCTATACGCTTACGAGTCCTTTGTACAGACAAATTGAGTATGGTTTGTATGACGAAAATTTGCAAAATGTTGTGTCATTATTATTTTTTAAACACAAGTTTACATCGAGCACAATCTGTTTTTTTCTTCTCAGTTCGTTGTAATTGCACATAGGATATCCATTAGGATTTAGAAATATACCAATTTTATGGTCCTCCTATTGACGTACTTATAAAAGCATTTTTATTTAAAAACTATGTGTGTAACCGCGGCTTCACCCGCGTATCATGTAGTATGACCCGTGATCACCCGTCATACTACATGATATGCGTAAATGCAAGTCGTTTAGGTCGACGAATTTTTTAAATAGGTTGAGCAGGTTCGGAGGTTATGTTATGCAAACAAACAATCAAGTCAAAAAGTATAGACTCCACCAGCATACTTTTTTCACACTTCAGTTAATTTCACACAAAAATCTAAAGTGTACGTCAAAAAAACTGATAAGAAACGACTTCGTCGCATATCATGTAGTATGCGGGTGATATGGGCCCATAAATTTACGCGGGTGAAGTCGCGTAGGTCGAAGAATTTTTAAAATAGGTTGAGTAGGTTCGGAGGTTTTGTTATGCAAACAAACAATCCAGTCAAAAAGTATAGACTCCACCAGCATACTTTTTTTTACACTTCAGTTAATTCCACACAAAAATCTAAAGTGTACGTCAAAAAAACTGATTAGAAACGACTCCGTCCATTCGCTTAAAACAGATAATTTTGAAACATTAATTTATTGGTAAATGTTGCACAAAACTCTTAAGTGGTAACGAAAATCTCCTCGATTTTGCGGTCTTGCTGTTTATATAATTTTCACAGAAACCGTTGATACCGAGACCCATAAACCCCGGCTTCTGAACATCAATCCAAGTGTGTTTCCTCGTAAAATATGCTATTAGTTTAGATCCGGGCTGGCTGGCTGCCATATGATGGAGATATCCTGGACCGGGGTTGAGAAAGCTTAGATATCAGTTTGTCTTTTTTTTGCCAATATTAATCCAACTTCCTGGGATATCATTTCCTTTTAAGTTTTCTTTATTCAATTTGAAGAACATTTGTGGTGACTACATATAAAACTATGGGGCATGACTATTTTTTCCATCCATACATAATGTTGATAATATTCGTATATACTAAGTAAAACTGAATTGTACCCCTGCCAGCTAACTCACGGATGTAGTATTGTTTACATAACATCATTATTTATTTATGTTACTCTATTATGTTGTAGTATTATAATATTTTCGTTTTTTCTCGAATTAAAGCCGTTGTTAAACTGTGACATGTTATAAAGTCCTTGAAATAATAAAACCCAATTGACTCAACTCAGTGTCTCTCTTAACAGTTTTTGGATTTGCTCCTAGTTTGTTGCAATTACGTAATTACAGACAATTGCACGTATGTTCTCCTCAATGTTTTTATTACCTTGATAATTGGCAGTATAAATGAGTGTTAGATTGTGCGAAGTAGTTTCGAGATAAATTGTGACTTAAAATTAAACATCGCTTCTATAACGAGCTCATAATTGGGGTCTTTTGTAGGTCAAATTATGAAAATAAATTATTTTATTAACGTGCGTTCATTTCGAAGCGTCAGACATATTGGATCGTACCTTATATTTTCCATTTTTCTATAATACAAACGTAAATTAAGAAAAATATAAACCTTTTTTTTATTCTAATGATTCAGTTACTTATTAAAAGTCTTTGGTCTTTGAGTGGTTTGACAGGACAGAGTGAGTCTGTTTCGAGAATGAAACAAATCTATTGCTTACAAATCTATATCGAGTTTACGTTATCTCTCAATTGTTATCTTCTTAATGTCTAAGCTTTTAGGGCACAGGTTTACTATATCCATAACTCAAATAAAATTAATCTTCAGTGCGACTTTATATTTGGCGGGTAATATACAGCACAAAGTAATGGCGCAAGTGCTTTTCAAAGAACGGATAAGTTTGACATACAAGTAAATTATGTTCTCCTATATACAAGGCTTTTCGAAAGTTGCTTAACATCCATAATGTCAGATTGATGGCGTCAAATATTTCGTTATTGAGTTATTCGTAACTTCTGGGGCACAGACCTTCCCTATGGATTGAATCGACTCGAATATGGAGAATGGGTCATAACCCTCCCAATGCGGATTAGTGGGTATTAACGACTGCAGATGCAGCCGTGACAAATAGTTTAATGTGCCTCCAATACCATATCCACATATTATTATTATTGCAAAGTAAAAGACTCAAGAGGAAGAACTAAAACATAATCACAATTAGAAAAATATAATATCTCATTGAAAGTTCCCCTCGTCTTTATGCGCTCTTTTACAGTATCTAAAAATGATGTACGTAATACAATAAATACTTCTTGTAAAAAACGTCGCCGTAGACACCCTGACGGCCTCGGCGGGCGCCTGTACAGTGGCCTTAATTATCCAATTGACGTGATCCTGATATCTACACTCCTCCAGATTGATTGAATGGCCTCTCCTAGGGCTTCGGCCTGGCCCAATTCCTGTCCTTTTTTATTGATCTGCTTTGCTGGCTGGTAATGTAGGAATTGAGAAAAATATGAATACCTTTACATTTTAAGTCTTTGACAAAGTCGCAATTTAAGTCTGTAAACGTGTCAGTCAATACTTATGTTGGTGAAGTAGTTAACCATTTTTTAATAAAATTTGGACTTCGTTTGGTTTGGTTTGATTTCCCTGTTTTAATGTCACGTAAAGTATTGCTTAAAATAATAGTTATGTCGTAAAATTTTTACTATTTAGTAATTTCAGTACTGTAGTAATCAAGGTAATCAATTTCTCACTCTAGCACATCTGTCGTCATTATCCGCCACACATTTTCCCACGTCTCGGGAGCCTCTATCCGTTGATTTACGCATCCATTGTCCGTCTGTTACTGGAACTGACGTGATTGCAAATCTTTGGTCTGTTGTTGCACTTGTAGGTACTTAAGTTGGTAATATAGTTGGCTAAAATTTGGAAATAGGGTATTGTCCGATTCTTCATGTTAACCATTATTAAATCTTTCAGAATATGTGTTTATCCATAATGTCGATGTCAAAATTGTCTTATAGATAAACTGTTTTTTCTACAGCATGAAGTTTTCCTTAATAATAGTTTCACTTTTCTTTTAACGTAACTCCACATTTAGAAAAAAAAATGTGTATTTATTATATAAAGTGATAATTTACGTGCAGTAAAATCTCTAAGAAAAACAAAGTATGTCCAATAGAAAAAAATACTTTGAAGGTATTCGAAATGCTAAATGAGTACGTTTTTTTATTTTGCAGGTGTTGAAGGACGAGCGGCGAGATGCCGGAGGGCGTCGCCAAAGATGGCAAGGAGGATGCGAAGGCCAAGGCGAAGAAGGAGGCCTCGCCGCGGCGCCGCCCCTCCGGGAACATAACCCGGATCAAGGTTGAGCTGCTGGACGGCTCCACCATGGAGCTGGAAGCTGACGTGAGTTCGTTTTTGCATTTATCTATCTACGTATCCATGTCTTTACACCAGTTCCCCTGCGGACTGGGACCGTACACGCTTTTCGCTTTCTTGAACTCTTTAAATGAAAGTTGCCGTTTCAGTTTTTATGTCGCCTGATATCAATTAAATCAATTTGACCGTGAAAGGTGGCATGTCTTGCTTGACTTCCCGGCAATATCAAAGAAACATGTTCTGTTTATTCTGTTGTATCCTCAGAATTTGAAAGAGTAATGATCTTCTACTACCCAGATCCGAGTAAATAAATAAGTAGGTAAAACATCTGCATGGTGCATTTTGCATAAATAGAACGTTATTTTATTTAATTAAACCTTTTTAGTCCAGCTTCGTAAAATAATAAACAAAGAGCTGAAGGTCGAGGTGACATTACGATAGGGAGTGTCCTCTGGGATCGGGAATCATGTCGCGTTGTTGTCGGCCCTGGGAAAGATGCCAAGTTTGCGATAGCTAGATCCTTCAAATATGTTGACATAAATTGCCTGGACGATCGAAATATGCTCACATTTCCTAATGAATGTTAAGCGATCGTTACTTTTGCACTCCATCTTTACAATGAGTATAAATACTTATATATAGACAAGAAATTGGTCAAAGAAAGTTTCTCGACTGTTCATTAAAACCCAACTAAAATGGCGCGTCTTAAAGTTTCGTAAAATACAACGTACTAGATTTCCATCTCAGACGCGCATATAGGTCCTCTGTTGGCCAACGCTTGCCGCTCTTTCATATTATCTGCGCAAGTACATACATCGGTGAGTCATTTTCGATGTGTTTTACTGTATTCTAAAATCACACTTAAGTTCCCAATGATGGTCAATGCCTGTCGTTGAAACAGACATGTAATATGTTGCAAGTCCTTACAATAAAATAAAAAATGCATTTCAAATTAGTCCTCGATTACTGATAATGAAATACAATAAAGAAAATAACATTGTAAATATATTATCACATTGTATGCTTTACATGGTTGGCTATAATATCACGTTCTAAAGATTAGGCTCTTGTCTGTCTACAAAGTATATATCTTGTATAATGTTTGGAGTATGAACTGCCAATTAAAAACTTAGTGGACATAAAATGCATGGCCTCTGTTGTAATATCTTAAAGATGAGCCTTTCATTGGCGGATATAGAATATGAAGGGAACTCCGTGAATGTTAGATTATGATAAATGGTAGTCAACAAACTATCGCGCAGTCGTTATTTTGGCTGCAAATGTAAGCGTAAAAAAATCCGCATCGCGTACGCCTATCATACTTGGAAAAGTGATTCTCCGAATGTGTTACAGAAATCGCGTGCATACGGAATCTATTAAGCAACAAAAATACGCCTTAACTAATGAAAGTTAAACGGGAAAAGAAACCCGCCTGCATGAAAAACAACTTACTGAAAAGGCTGGAACAATATAAAATCTTTATCCAACATTATACATAACGTGCAGTCGGAGGCATGCACAAAGAGAGAATGATTTGACTTATTATTCAATGTCATGCCTCCGACTGCATATTATGTATCATGTTGCATACATTTTTTATCTTGTTCCAACCTTTTCAGTTAGTTTTTTTTTAATCACGGAGCGAGGTTATTTTTTTTAATAATTTTATCTCTTTAATGTTAGACAAATTACCAGGTTGGGTTAGAAAGTAAAAGAATAAAGTCCATATTTTTAAACTTTATCATTGTAATTTTTTTATTGTTATTACGGTGATGATAATCATAATATAACTTTATGGAATCCTTAAGCCCTTTGATTTGAAACCTATATTGTATTTGAATAAAAACATTAAATATAATGGCTACTTAGACAAATTTAACCATACCTCCATACTCTAAATCCGTTCAGCGGTTCTGAAGTTATGAGGTAATCAAGAAATATTACATACACACATTCACTATACGCACAAAAAACATAACATTTCCATTGCAGTCGGGTAAAAACATATAGTCGAGATGAACGTGTGAACTCAACGAACATTTCATTCGATTTAGTTTCTGATGTGGAAAATAAGACATTTCGTGTTTATTTTAGACCAGACCGTTTAAATACAAATTAAGCAATGGATAATGCAGAATGATTCAAGATCTGAGTACAGCGTTGTTTATAGATCATCGGTCGATTTATATTGAAATGAAATAATTTATTGATGCACATCTAAGTAAGAATATCTTAAAGCAAATGTTCCAATTGCAACGTTTTGTGGACTGTTGACATCAGTGCAGCTTGAAGCAATAGCAGCATAAAATAACATTTATTAAACGGAACAGATATTCTATGAGTGATATTACGATAAAAAGCACTAACACTCTCTGAATGTGTTACAGAAACTTATCTTATCTCGTATCTATAGACGAGAGAAATAATTAATTGAGAAAATGTCATAACTTATATTTTGTAATGTCATAACAAATATTTTTAACCAATACACGAGAATTTGTATTGTTGCTTAAAAGCTAATAATAATAGTATTCTTATTATTAACAGTTCTTACTTCATTCAAATTGTTGTTTATTTGGTAAAAATATTTGGTATTTGTTAAAAGTATGAAATTTTTTTAAGGAATTACTTCTCTCGACTATAGATACCAGTGTAACTGTTTAAGCTGTGGAAAAATCATCAATAAACTGACAAGTGTTTTTTTTCATCTAGTACATTATTCCTGAATTTGTAGTATAAAATGTTTTTTTTTATTGCAGAGAAAGATTCGTGGCCACGAACTCTTATCAAAAGTTTGCGATAGTTTAAACTTGGTGGAGAAAGATTATTTCGGTCTACTGTACGAAGATCGTGGCGATCGGCGAGTCTGGATCGACTTGGAGAAAAGGGTGTCTAAACTACTAAAACGTGAGCACCTCTTATTAATTTTCTCTATAGAAATTAAATCTTAAAAGTCTACTCTTGTGAACAAATGCAAGTCTTCATGTTTTTTCCACTGTATTAGTAACAACAGCGTTAATTGTGTGATTTGATTTGTTAGACGAGCCGTGGGAGTTGCGGTTTGCAGTAAAATTCTACCCACCAGAACCGGCGCAACTGCAGGAAGAGCTCACACGGTACCAGCTTGTGCTCGCCGTGCGAAAGGATCTTTTGGAAGGTATAGTTATCGAAATTTGTATCTCTTTAATCTCTAATAAACCCCAGAAACTCAACTCATTCCATTCCCAGTTGAGTTGAGTCTTAGGACCAGAATAAGGTTCATAAGGACACCTTAGGCTCGCCTTCTAAGGGTACTCGTTTACAGACCATATGTCACCCGAGCCTTTTTCTAGACAAGTGGGACCAAGCTATCTTACTTGGTTTACTTTATTAATATTTCTACATAATCTAAGTACAATCGTTCTGACCTATTTTTCTATCTGGTAAAAATCTTAATCTGAATTCGAATTCACTTAGGAGTTCCAATTCACTTCAAAAGCGGCGTCCGCTCAACCTGAAATTGGTAATAATATTTCGTGGCATAAGTGAAGTGAGTATCGCAATGACATGGGAATATAATATCTGAGACACGTATATTGTATTTTTATTTAAAACTGGAATCGATAGAATTTCTATACTAAATGACATGAATACGGACACATGAGAGAATTCGAATTCGGGTCTGTATTTTTACAGAATCGCAAGGCTGATTAGTTTAGTAATAAGGGAACATTATTGTTGTTACATATATATGAAGTTTTTTAGCTCAGTGTGTCAAATAAATTTTGCTCGCTATTTACTCTTACCTATGATACTCTGCACATTTTTTAGTTTTTCAAAGAGAAGATAGATATGATTGGACGCGTGAAGAATATATTTTATTTTCCAACAGGTCGCTTACCATGTTCAACCGTGACACACGCGCTGCTAGCCAGCTACTTGCTGCAGTCTGAATTAGGTGATTATGAAGACACAGAAGTCGGCGCCGGTCTCTGCAAACAACTTAAATTGGTGCCACCATCCGCGTGCACCCCGGAGCTTGAGGAGAAAGTTGTGGAACTGCACAAGACTCATAGGTGAGCTTGTTATTATTACATCTGCTACATTATTATGGTAATTGATCAATTTCGTATTAACAATGCTAGTGCCAGGGACAAAATGAATTTTTTAATAATTTTTCATTAAGAATACATGTGCTAAATGTTAAAACAGGAGATTGTAGTGAGAATCGTGCTAGATTAGATGTTTTTAGAAGGTGCTTGGTAACGGTTCGGTCTCACACAATACGAAAGTTTAAAAACTTGATTATAAAGAAATTGATTTCCTTTCTTTATTTATTTGTGCTAACAGGGAAGGCTTCTGTCAGCAAGCTGATGAGAAATTATTTTTTGTGATATGAATTATAAAAGACTAGAAGCAGACGATTAATGGGTAATTATTAAATCTATTAAAAAAAAATTGTAAAATCAGGCTAATAGTTTTTTTTTTGTTGTCAGAGGCCAAACCCCAGCGGAGGCGGAATTGAATTACCTAGAAAACGCTAAGAAGCTAGCGATGTATGGTGTAGACCTCCATCCAGCCAAGGACTCCGAGAACGTCGACATTACGCTGGGTGTCTGCTCGTCTGGTTTACTAGTGCACAGGGAAAAGTGAGTGATTTTAATAGCTTGTGTATACTTTCCATAAAATAAATTTGCAGTTTGAAATTTCGAAATAATTTTTGCGTTTGAGCAATATGTCATTTAAAAGTAAAGTACTATTAATGAAATTTTATTAGTTTAGATGATGATTCGGAAACAAATAATTTTGATGAACGTTCCATTTACACATATATGTTGATTGGTATTATAATGTGTATGAATAGTGTGTTGCAACAGATTGATGCTGTTTTTGTACAGATGATGAAGTTGATAATCAAGGGGCAGGGTAATCGTATGCCACAACAGTTTGTTTTGTTATGATCAGTGGCATACGACTAAGCTGTCCTTTGGTCATCGCTATTATAATATTGCTATGAAATAAATTTCTTATTTCAAACTTTTTAGTCATTGGAAGTCAGGCTTTAGTTTTTAAACTTATTTTCTTAGACTGTTTATTTATTCTTTCACTGGCAATCATGTATTTGACTCCATCCATTGTTTCACAGACTTCGTATAAATCGTTTTGCGTGGCCAAAGATCCTGAAGATCAGCTACAAGCGACACAACTTCTATGTGAAACTACGACCCGGTGAGTTCGAGCAGTTCGAGTCCACCGTTGGCTTCAAACTCGCCAATCATAGGGCAGCTAAGAAGCTATGGAAGACTTGCGTGGAACACCATACATTCTTCAGGTAATTACTTGCACTTGCTTTGGTCAAAATTTTGTGTGGTTTTATTAGTGAGGGTTTGCTATGGAATCGAGGTCTTCAGTGGTATTAAGAGCCTTTGTGAGATAAACCTTATATTGTATAATGTTCTTTTATTAGTGCTCTCACCATGCTTAGAATAAGAAATGCTCAAGAGAACTTGCTTTAAGGATTTGAGCTAAAAATTAAAGACAACATACGTTTACAACAGGTAATAAATAGATTAAAATACTCTACAACAAACTGCTATTGATTGAAAGTAAGTATGTATAATATTTCTAACTCGACGAATTTTCACAAACTGACATTCTTAAAGAGCATATTGGAAAACAAACAAATATTTTTAACCAATAGACGAGAATTTGATTGAAGTTATATCTGTGATAAAAATAATAGTATTCTAACTATTAACAGTTCTTACTCCATTCAAATTCTTGTTTATTTGATAAAAATCTCTGCTTAAGATATATACTAAAGGAATTAGTTCTCTTAACTATAGATACAAGTGTAAGTATGCTATCGTGTAAGAAATAATTGTAGTATAGTTATATTACTTCTGTTGTAGAAGTATAAATGGAAATCTTGTATAAAATATTGTAAGCACAAATCAATAATAATTTAAATTGAACTGATGATATCCTATCCATCTTTGGTTAAGTGTATCAGTGTTTCTCAAAGTGTGCAATGACTTTGGATTCCGATAGGTCTCCACGCCAAAAAAGTTTGAGATTTGTTACTATAGAATAGCTAAATGGAAGGTTTTTTGTTTCATAAGGTTGATGAGTCCGGAGCCGGCCACGAAGAGCACTCTGTTCCCGCGGCTCGGGTCCCGCTTCAGGTACAGTGGCCGCACGCACTACGAGTCCCGCGCCGCCCCACCACAGCGCCCTCCACCACACTTCAGCCGCACGCTCTCACACCGCCAGCTCTCCTCCCGCAGCATGGACGGTCAGTACTGTACACCACATCACTTCAACCTAGAGATGCAAGGTTCAATAAAAATATCGATATATATTGGTCTTAGTCACAATCGCTTCAAAAATCTGATAAAAAAGCCGATATATTGGCATATTTTAGGTCTTAAGTAAATTCAAAAGATCTTGTTTGTAAAAACCATATGTAAAAAAAATCGGTGGTGGCTACCAAATTTAGATCTGTGAAGCTAGTTCCTACTTGGTGTAATAGTCTTTAGAGTGTTTAGTCTACACCCAAATGTCACTTTAATCGGGTGTACCCATACGATATCTCACTCTTGGCCCCAGATCGCTATTTCTTCGATTTCGATATTTTTGGACGTCGATATACAGGATGTTTGGAAATACATGTATAATCCCGAAACATGGCCATACAACCTAGCACAAAGAACACAATTAATATGTCAAAAAACAATTTCACGTAAATTGAGATTTTCATACAAATATTTGAACAATTTATTTTCAATTAATATGCTACAATCCTGAATATGAAAAACAAACCAAAAGTCCCGAAAGAACGAAAACGTAAGTTGACCTTCTAAATTCTGAAACTCACAAGTACAACGATGAAAGTCTCGGACGCGACTGAAGTGATGACCAAAACTTCATAAAACTTCATATTGCAACTCGAACACCAAAGTACCTAAATCAAAAGTGCACCGATTTAGGGTTCCGCGTCATCAAATTCTGTGTTAGGTAACCTACCTAACAAAAAATCGTTATTTTTTTATTTAATTACACAATTAAATTTCAAGGTAACTTATTATACTATTTTTTACTGACGAAACTGATAATTAGGCTGTTTACTTATTATTACTATTTTATTTACGCTTTTCACGGTTACAAAAGAAAAAAAAGGCCATAATATTAAAAGTGGTAACCTTATTTAAGACCAAGTCATTAACAAAATTATAATTTATAATTATGAGGCATAAAAAAATTATTAATTACGTTAGAAAAGAAAAGAAATATTATTTATTATTAGTCCTATCCATTACAACTAATTTTTATTTAATTATCGTTTAAACTAAGAACAAGCGAGATGTTTAGATTATTAATATCATTGTATAAGTCCGTATTTTATTGTTTCGTGAAAATAACACTGCTTTATGAAAAAAATAACAAAACTTCAAAGTAATTAACAGAACCATACTGACACATCAGAAACCCGAGTTTCTCAATACACATCGTCGTCGATTTTATGTCTCTGTCGCTCCTTCTTGCATAGACTAATGTGAGCAATAGTGCAGATATCTAACTTCAATCAAAGTATTGGCAATTTCTTTTTTATTTTGACTGTATACTTAGAGAAGTTTTCTTAATAATAGTTTTTGAAACACCGTTAATCACAAGATTTGTGTTCTTTTATGGTTAAAAGTCATTTACTACTAACTTTTTCTTTGTTTTTGAAATAATAAATTACTCTCGGATGCATATTTATTCTAAGCATTTATCTTTACATTTGTGCAACTTCTTTTATTTTTTAAATTACTTCAGCACATGGAGTCGATGACCACATACAACACAATAGCTGTTTTTAGGGTTGTCAGCGTACAGGTTTACTTCGAAAAAAAAAGCTAAATATCTTGGTCATGTGCTGGGTTTCAGAATTAGTGATTATTTTTCTGGGTTCTATTCATCAAACCGTATGTGCCATATTCGGGATTATACAGGTATTACCAAACACCCTGTATATCGGTTTTATTGATATATTGCTGCATCCCTATCAACCGCATGATCTCATACTGGTAGCCCTCCCGTCTTAATATATTAACAAGTATAAGTACTTTTACAATTCATGAATTAAAATGTTCCTACTCGTATTTGACACACGAAACAAAAATGAAAATAGGGTTTGTTTTACGTAAAAAAAAAATCGGTGGTTTAGTGGATAAGCGCCGCGGCCCGCGATAGTTGACGTTAAGCAACTTTCGTAAGGGTCGGTGACACGGGATGGGTGACCAAAAAATTATTATCTCGAGTTACTCCGTGCTTTGGAAGGCACGTTTAGCCGTTGACCCCGGCTGCATTTTGCAGCCGTTAATACCCTCCAATCCGCATTGGGCCAGCATGGAGGGTCATGGCCCATCCGCCTTAACCATCCATAAGGAAGGCCTGAGCCCCTGCAGTGGGGACGTAAATGGGCTGATGATGATGATGATAAATCAATTGGAATGGGATCTACTTAAATTTCTTGGACAACAGGAAGTAACTTCATTTAAATAATTTCTTTTTTATTGAAAGCTGATTCCTTCATCAATATATGACAAATACAAAAAAGTAAATCCTGATCGTTTACTGTCTAAAATGTCTTCAAGGATTTCTAAGAATTTCATTTTGGCATGTAATTAACGAACAGTGGATACACAAGTATGAGTGGATACTTGGAAAGTAATGAATGTCATTAAAGCTTATTATTCTTATGATAACACAAGCGAACTTATTATGGATATTATAATAGGCTATCTGTTTTCCCGCGACGCAACCCCGTAAATTTTAGCCTACGTCACCCGCATATTATGATGTAGCTTCTCAAACATGAAAGAATTTTTAAAATCGATAAAATCGCTCCAAATCGAGCCTATTCAATGTAAACAATCAAATAATCATCTCATCTCCTTTCCTCTTTATAATATGACTGGCAGTTTTCTGATAATTTAACCCGCGTAAATTAGCCTATTTCACCCGCGTAGGATGTAGCTTCCTGTAGGTTAAAGAATTTTTTTAATTAGTCCGATAATTTTGGAACCTTTTCGATGCAGACAATTAAACAATCACATCTTTTCCCTTTATAATATTAGTATAGACGATAGATAGTGTAAAGTTAAGTAAGCTTTTATATTAGTGTTTACTAGAATTCCCAAATTGTTGCGAGCTGTGTTGAGTCACTATTGTAATTGTCACCTTGCCAGACTGCATGATGTGACTGTTACGTCATTCACTTTTTGCAATCGGCCTAATCATTATTTTTAGCGTACAATGCACGTAATTTTATTTCTATGTATCTCACCATTAAAAAAAATTACTAAGAGCTTATTCACAATAAAAATCAAACAGTTGTACACACGACTTACGTGCAGTCTACCATCTACAAATGTATTAAAATTTACACAAACAAAAATAAAAATATGGAATTTTAAGAGTCTGTAAATTTTGTATACTAAAGGAGGCTTTATTGCTTTTTCTTTTTCAACATACCTATTCAAGTAATTACAAATAAATAAGAATTGGAACTTCGTTATCTACTAAGTACAATATCAGACAATATTGATATGGAAATAGTGTATATATTTGAACTTATGTTATAAATTGAAATTATATGTTTTTATTTGTCTGTAATAGAGAAATGAAAAAGTTAATGGACCTTTTTAAAAATTATTTCATCAATATGATGTTATCTAAATAAGTTGATGATGTTAACTAGAAATATATAAATACTTTAGGTATTTGCTTCAAACTGTCGCTTAAGTAAGATACTTTGAAAGGTTTAGAAAAAGAAATCGCGGTACCATATGGAAAACAATCCTAATATGTATCAATTGACTAGGAATAACCTTGTAAATTACGAAAATTTCTGTTCGCCAAATATTGGATAAAATGATGCCAATTCTATTTAGCATTGATCTGTTATGATTTAGTCTATGAGTTGGTGCGTCCTCTTTAGCCATGCATTATGGTATCTTATGAAGCAAACGTTATTAATACACTATTTACTCACGGCGCTGTCGGTGCGCAGACGCATGTTTATAACCAATACACACCGGCGTTGTTGATCAGTCTCGCGAACTTTTTTGCAAGTTTTAAAGTGTGTGCAGTGCACTTATGTTAAATAGTTCTTTTTTTTAATTTTATTTATATTGTGTCATTTGATTTGTTATCTTATTTGTGTATCTGAAAGTGAATTTTTTTGAAAATGGTTTTCAATGATTGTTGGTCGCCGAGTTGCACTTCATGTTTGTATTTTTTTTTTTATTAAATTTTAAGGAAAGATTCGATTTCCTTGTTGGTCTGTTTTATCGTATTGAATAGGCTCCGAAATTACTGGACCCATTTTATTTATTTTTTTCACCTACATGTGAAGCTGCATTATATCATACGCAGATATAAATTATCGCGGACGAAGTCGCAGGAAAACAGCTACTTACTGATAAATTGTATAGCTTCACTTGTATAATGTAACAGTGAGAAGTTATTTCCTGATATTTGTTGATCTTCATTCGTATGTTTGTGTTTTATAAAATCGTTACTAAGAAACCGTCTGGAACGGGCGTCTGTTTCATCGTGATTATACATTGATTTAATACGTGAATACTGTGTGTAAGCTACTAGTTTAGATTGCCGTAAAATTTTCATAAATATCTATTACTATAGTTGACCCCTTAATGCCGTGCCTTTTTTTAAATATAACATGTACCCTTTGTTTATCATTGATAATGTAAATTGATATTGGTGTATTGGCTTTAAAAACAAATCCAGTACTACGTACGTTACAACGTTAATAGGCTGATCAATAGAGTGATAGGCTGACAGGTAGAGTATCCTGAATGCAAATTAGTAACATTTATTCGAATGGGACTGATGGAAATTATGGTTGGAAGTTACTTTAATGTTTCTCTGTAATGAGTCATCATCAGCCTTTTAACGTCCCCACTTCAGGGGCTCAGGCCTTCGTTATGAATGGTTACGGAGAAAAGGCCATGACCCTCCACGCTGACCCAATTGGATGCTATTAACGACTGCAGATGCAGCTAGGGCCAACTGCTTAACGTGCCTTCCGAAGCACGGAGTAGCTCGAGAACAATAATTTTTTGATCACCCATCCCGTGACCGACCCTTGCGAAGGTTGCTTAACAAGAACGATCGCGGGCCACTGCGCTTGTCCACTACGCTGCCGAACTGTAATGAAAAATTATCAGAATTAATGGAATTAGTAGTAGCGACCTTGTTGTTCAAGTTCAATGTCATATTACGTAACTCTACGAAAAAGGAGGTTCGGTAGCATTTTAACATGTAAATTATAGCCTATGTCATCCGCGTGTAATGTCCCGTAGTTGAGAGAATTTTCATGATCAGATCAGTATTTCCGAAGTTTACCCCTTATAAACAAACAAAGATACTACTGCTTTATAATATATGTATAGATCATTGTGCATTACCATCATACTACCGCTCGTCAAAAAAAACGATCACGTGATTGAAAAAACATCATAAACGGTATTTCGATGAATCTAAGGATATGAATGACAAATGCACTTCTAATAATAACCTAAAATGTTGTGAATATTGATAAATAATAATTAGAAGTTTTATTAGCTTAATGCAATGGCGCAGTGGTTAGCGCGACCGGTTTAGAACTTTGGTAAGCGTCGTTCATAATATGTTTGGGCAAAATTTTAATATCTTCAGTTTCTCCGTACTTCAGTGCTAAGCTGAAGTACGGAGTTATATTGAAATTAAGACTGAGGACTGATTATGTGTTAAAAAATTAATATTAGTATATATTTCTTATTTGTATATTTTTTTCTAGCCCTAGCAGCAGCTGAGAAAGAGGAGGCGATGCCCCCGGATGCAGCCAAACGTCACACGATGCCACCACAGCCGGCGCCAAGACCAACAATCAAAGACAAGGTACGTTTCATTCGGTTTTACAAGTTCTAAACACAACGTAGTATAGTGGTAGTTTTTAACACAGCACCTATTAATTTGTAAATGTGAAATATATATTGAAATACACGGTGTAGAAAAAATCTACAAAATTACTATTTTGTATGCATGAGTCGATTGAGTATATTAACACATATACACAAGTTTTTTTCTTCGGACATTGTATTCTGATCGAGTAAATGTTGGACTCATAATGACACTAACATTTTAGAATTTAGAAGTTTATTTAATGTAATTTTAATTCATCTAGAATGTGATCAAAAATATTTGCATGTCATCAAAAATGTATTATCATTATACAAAATTATCGTGTGCAAAGCTACAATGAAAGTTATAAGAAATAAATGACTAATTCAGTAATTAGTGAATAAATATAGTTTAAAGTTTATACACAGATAATTATAGTTTGTTTACTAACAATGATAAGGAAAGCTTGGCTTCATGCCGCTATCATCTACCGAAATAGCTCCATGACTCATTTAGCATGCAAATAGTTTAGATAACTCATCTGGTTTCTCAGAAATCTTAAGACACTTGGGTCTACTGTCCACGTACGTTCACTGTTTTTTTTTGGCTTAAAAATAATTAATTTCTTAATAGTATTTTTTATTTTGGATTTATTTGTAATCATATGTAGGTCACTGAGACAAATAAATGGTATTATTAATAATTTTGTGATGTCATGGTAAACTCGATCACTGACTCACTTTTGATCTATAAAAAATCAAATATGTAATGTTAGTTTTGTTTTTGCATTAAAGTATATTATATTAATATATAAATACATTTTTTTCCTTTAAATGAAACAACTTCAGTCTTCTGTATTTTTGCTTTCATGACGTAAAAAAATATAAGGTGTCAATAAAATGTTTTCCTCTCTTTTATAACTGCATAAATTAACCTTTTACCAGATAATAGGATAATATACGTATTTTTAAGATTTTTGACGGCGAACGTGTGTGTGGACAGTAAACCTTAGATTTGTTTCAAAGGAACTAGAGTCGATCTGCCTCTGATATGCAGATTAAACGGACTGCAAATGTTATAAAAATTACTTAGAAAATATGAGTTTCTACAATATAATACAAATCTTTTGACAATAATATAAACAAACTACTTGTATTACTTTCATTTTATATACCGATATAAAATAAATATGTGACACGCGTACTTATTTGCAATCTGTTTTCAACTTACTCTTACTAAATTAAAATTTTAATAGTGGTATTGTGATTCACTAATATGTAAGCATGATGGCTTTTAATGATTTCATTAATATACATCGTAGTTGGGAACACACCAGCCTTAATATTGTCGCTAGTAATTAGTCATATATTACGATGTTTGACATCTTGAGTTGGATTAACGTTTAGAATAGCATTTAATGTACGTCACATTTTTTTCTTATAAAAAAAAGACAACGGTTGTGTTCCTGGCTGTGTGTAAGGCGGTTCTCCCAACAACAACATTGATTTCATGTTAAATTTAGGACCTTCTACCACGATCACTTTTAGCAACTCTACATTAGACAAGAAATACGTTACACGTACATAATTTGTGTCGTAGAAGAGTGATTCGCCATTCTGTTAAGTTTTTATTTGTGAAATGTGTGATTTATTTTGCAATAATTATAATTTGCATCTATATTCAAAATTTTAAAATTACATTAATGAAATTACATTAAGGCAAAAGGGCAGCGTGGTACGGAGGTCCAAATGATCAATTCACATTGCAAGTAAATAGAAGCGAATTAAAATGCAGATACTTAAAAATCGGGAACTCAATATGAATAATGTACAAGGTAGCAATCCCGTGAAATAACTATCATTCTAAGATACATAATAGGGATGACGGACGACAGGGTTAAAAAAATAAATTCTTTTTATGCCGTCAGTCAGATAACAGAAAATTATTAGAGACGTATTTTTTTTTCGATATATACGATTTTTAGTTCATTTAATAAGTTCAAAAATTAAAACGCAACTACAGTTAAATCACGCTCTGGAAAGTTTGAAACAAGAAATTTATTATATAGCGATAGCTAGAGGTATATTTCAAAGCGATGACCAAAAGACAGCGTAGTCGTATGCCATTAATAATAACACAACAAACTGTTGTGGCATCTGCTGAATGGGATATGTTATTTTTCGTTTTCTCTTTCGACATGCAATGTGATTTGAACTGTCTTACAATGTGGGGAGAGTCGCGTTAACATGTGTGTGTGGTTGTCGCACGCTGCGGACGCTAGTTGCGGCGGCGGTCGGCCGGCACCAGCGCCTCCTCCGCCAGCTCCCTTGAAGGGGAATACCTCGCCGACAGAACCGACAAGGTTACACAAACACTCACACACTATATTACCACCAGATCATAGAATGTATGATAACTATCAAATAGACGTGTCAAAAGACATGTTCATTCAGGTATTAAGTCTGTAACTAAATCCCTGTTTGATAAATGGAAATAAAGTTATGATTAGTCTCTCAGGTTAACAGATCCACTATCAGCAGACCGCTCAGGACTGGCCTTAATTGGATAGAGTAGTCTGATTGATACGCTGACAGCTGATCTGTCAGCCTGGCAGACTATTAATGACTTCATTTTGACAGATAATACAGGGTTTCAGTCACACGGTAGATGTGGTCATTAAGAATAAAGTAATAAAATAAAGTGAAACCCATTTACAATTCTACGTTAGTTTTTCTTTGTTGATAATTTATCGCAGGATTGCAATCGGAACATATTTCATTTGTTTTAAATTTCAAAACCGGCGTGCCTTCTATCGTAAATCGAGTGCAGGTGTTGCCAATGTAAATATGCATAAGCAATATGATCACCGATTATAGGAAAATATCTGTTACTTTCTATGATCTCCGAACAGACGTAGGTAGCCATAGGCTCGCTACACACTAACAACATTTGCATGTCGCATTACTGATTGACAGGTGGTATATTTATTTATATATAACGTGCGTCAATGGCATGTATAGACATGCTATTTTAATAAATAACAAAATTAATAATTTACATAGATATCGGTATATTATAATATATTACATGGTTGCTTTACCTAATACTTATAGTAGTTAACTGATAGCTATTCTATTTTAAATTGTGTAATTGAGAAGTAAATAGGATGTCAATAACGCAATTACGGAGGCAAAGTAACTTATGGTGTGGGATATTGGAGGAAGAGAGTATCAATAATTTATGACCTTCGTTGAAATCCTTTCTTCTGAAGATAAGTTAAGATTTGAAAATTAACAAAAATATCGTTTATAAACATAATTGACTTAATTGAGTTTAAACAAAATAAGTTAATATTTAAGAGACAGTAACTTATAAAAGTGGGGATTTGACCATGCAAAAAATGGATCCACAGTAAAACTTGTATTTTGTTGATATCTATTTGCAAATATGAAATTAAATAATGTTTTATTTGAAAGTTTCAATGAATTTTTCAAATCTGGCATCAAATTGAAGATATTATTGTATTTTGCATTGCAAACTTCATTACTTATCTAAATACAGCTGAAAATCTACCCGTATATCAATATATCTAATCTTAATTATTTTAACTCTAATACAGTCACGAAAGGACACGACATGTGCATTGGATAAAAAAGACCCTTATATATTTAGCGTTACATATATATTTACTTATAATGTTAGTGTTGAAATAATAACCTTAAATAATTCGATTTCTAGAAACCGCCGCCAGGTGCTGTGAAGGTGATGCCCACTGCGCCTCCAGACAAGGAACAAAAACTAGAAGAACAACGGAGGCCTGCAGAGAACGGTACATATTACTATATAAAAGGAAAATAACAATATTACCATGCAAACATAATTAGTGATGTGCCGCATCTTTAAAAATGTGTACTTGCGAATACGGAGATTTGTTTTCAATTCAATTCAGTTTACGCGATTCCTAAATATTTAGGCGTAACATATGGTCGACTCCTAGTTCTAATGAAAACCGGGATTGGTGTAATAAATATTATTAACCAACATTTAATTAGCATATTTTGAAATGTCTGCATCTTCTTACTCTGTAACTTCATTTCAATGACAGAAATATTTGCATTGTGATTATTATATGCAGGCACCGACACATCGAGCGATCCCGGAATCACAAACAACGTGGAGACAACGCCGAAGAAAGCAAAGGTGAGTACAGTTTTCCTTAACTGCAACACATAACACACAAGTACATTCACAAAGCGAGAATGGTAGATACTTTATCAGATATTATTGACTCGTGCGTTGCAGTACTGTCATATTCTGATAGTAGCGTTTAGTGTATTATACATTTTTTTGTAAATATTACCGTTAGATACTGCAACTAGCGCATGCATTAAGCGTACTGCATTTTTCATATTAATTTCGCACTGTGTGTGTCTGCTCATATTTAAGTTGAACAATTCGAAGTCCAACGATGACGACGAAGTACGACCGGAGTTTTTATCGAAATTCTCAAAACTTACACACGATACGTTCCGCGTTTATTGATTGTTTTCTTTGTATGATTATTTTATTATTATTATTTTTATTTTTGCCATCCCCTTCCTTGATCCCGATCCGGTCTACGCAGGGAGGATTCGGATTGTTTAGTGGCAAAAAGGATAAATCGCCGAAAGAAGAGAAATCGCCTAAAGAGAAATCACCCAAGTCTAAAGACAAGTCACCCAGAGACAAATCGCCCAAAGACAAAGACAAAAAACTCAAAGAACCTAAAGTCAAAGTGGCCGTCCTCGATACATCAAACGAGAGCTCTAATCTCGACTCGTCACAGGAGAAGAGTCCGTCCAAACGAGAAGACAAGCCCGGCTTCACGAAACCTTACGAATACACGGACACGGAAAAGAGTCCGACGCGAACTAAACCTTTCATACAGGGCGCGTTCAGTTACGAGAAAGAACCTATATCCGAAGAAAAACAGAGAGCACTGGACGAGAGTCAAAGTCCGACTACGAGAAAAGCCGGTCTCGCTTTCAACTACGCCCCAGGAGAAGATAAGAGAGTGGCTGAGAGCGCTGAGAAACGTAAAACACCTGAGGACCCGAGCAAGTTGAAAACGCCTGGCATTGATTATGTTCAGTCCGCCGCTCTCAAGGAACAAGCCAAAGCGCCTAAACATCTCATAGACCCCACTCTAGCGCTTTTGGATTCCGAACGAGCGCACCACGAAGCTCCTTCAGCAGCTGTCATAGCTGTACCTGCAGCAGCCAAACCCGATAATGAAATACAAGTCGTCATCATCACTGGCAGATATAATCCTAAGTCAAAGAAACTTGACGATGCCAATGGAACAATTTTAGTCACCAGAGGAATACTTAATAAAGCTAATGGAAAGATTCAAACTGAAAAAGAACTTATCAACACGAAATCTGGCCAAGTAAGTTACACAGATCCCGCGACGAATAAACAAGAAATCAAAAACGGTCACGTCGATTCAAAGTCTGGTCATATATTATTTACAAGCGGTGTTATTGATCCTAAAACTGGAAAGCTAGACCCTACGCTCGCCCAACAGTACTGCTTTGTTGAAAAAGCTCAAGACAAAGTTGGCGCCAAGCCTGGGAGGGAGGTCGATTTAGTTGTAATAACGGGTAAATATGACGGAAAACATAAGAAATTAGACGCCTCCCATGGTCATGTGAATGTTTCTAGAGCTGTTATTTCACCGGAAGGTACAGTGGCTTCCAATTTTGGCGTAATAGACCCGAGAACAGGAAAGATAGATTATGTCGATCCGAAAACGGGCAAACAAGACCCGAAACAAGCGTACGTTGACCAGAAAACTGGAAACTTACTCGTCACGACTGCGGTTGTGGACCCCAAGTCAGGAAAGGTAGATTCATCATTGGGTCAGCAGTTTAGCATTGTTGAAAAAGACGCAACAAAAGCCAATAGAGAAATTCGTCTTGTCGTTATTACTAGCAAATATGATTTGAAGAGCAAGAAATTGGAACCTAACTTTGCTCATGTAGACGCGGTCAAAGGAGTCTTAAGTGGATCTGATGGTAAAATTTACACAGAATATGGTGTCATCGATCCGAGATCCGGAGAAATACAGGTCACTGATCCCAAGACTGGCCAGCAAGAAGTTAAACGGGCACAAGTAGATCTCAAAACTGGCAATATATTACTGTTATCTGGCGTCATAGATCCTCGAACAGGACAGCTGGATACCACACTTGGGCAACAATATAGTATCGTTGATAAACCTGTTGACACCTTCGCTGTGACACCCGGAAAAGAAGTCCAGTTAGTAGCTATTACCGGAAAATACGATTCTAAAAATAAAAGATTGGATAATCCTAACGGATTTATTGAAACTTCTCACGCTATCATTAGTGATAAAGACGGTAAGGTGCACACCAATTTCGGAGTTCTAGAACCTAATACAGGAAAGATATATTACACTGACCCAAAAACTGGAAAGCGTGATTCCAAACAAGCCATCATTGATGGTAAAACGGGTAGCTTTATTCTTACTTCTGGTGTCATTGACCCTAAGACTGGTAAATCAGATTCGTCCCTTGCTCAGCAACTAACAGTGGTTGATAAAGATGCGCCAAGAGGCATTCCTGAAAGATATGTCAATGTAGTTATCGTCACATCCAAATATGATCCCAAAAATAAAAAATTGGAACTTACTAATGCTCACGTTGATTCATTTTCGGGCAAAATCGATACCGATGGCAAGGTTCATACAGACTATGGCATCGTTGATCCCAGTACAGGAGAAATCATTGTAACAGATCCTATTACTGGAAAGCAAGAGGTTAAGAAAGCCTTAGTAGATTCCAAGACAGGAAACCTTCTACTTACATCAGGAGTAGTTGATCCTCAAACTGGAAATGTAGATTCTAGCTTGGGTCAACAAATCAGCGTTGTAGACAAAACAAAAGATAAATTTACCTCTATTCCTGGAAAGGAAGTGCAACTAGTTGTAATTACAAGTAAATATGACCCTAAATATAAGCGGTTAGATAATCCTAATGGTCATGTAGAAACATCAAGAGGTGTGGTAGCTGCTGATGGCAAAATTCACAGTAACTTTGGTATCATCGATCCTAAAACCGGCAAAATTGAACATGTGGATCCAAAGACTGGCAAACAAGATATCAAACAAGCTGTTGCTGATCCCAAAACGGGACATTTAATACTTTCAGCTGGGGTAGTTGATCCGAAGACAGGAAAAGTAGACTCCTCGTTGGCTCAACAGATAGCCATTATAGACAGAGATTCTCGAAAGGGTGTTCCAGAAAGATACGTCAATTTAGTGATTGTGACATCTAAATATGACCCGAAAAATAAAAAATTGGATTTAACCGATGCACATATAGATACTATTCCTGGAAAATTAGAAGCAGATAATAAAGTTCGCACTGAATTTGGAATAGTAGATCCTAGCACTGGTGATATCACAATAACCGATCCTGTAACTGGAAGAAAGGAAGTGAAGAAAACTGTCGTTGATCCAAAGACTGGTAATTTACTTCTTACATCAGGTGTTCTTGATCCACGAACAAGACAAATCGATCCCACATTAGGTCAGCAAATAAGTGTTGTTGATGTACCGAAAGACAGATTCACTTCAGTAGTACCTGGAAAGGAAGTAGAACTGGTTATTATTACTAGTAAATACGACACTAAAACTAAGAAGTTAGACAGCCCTAATGGTCATGTAGAAACTTTGCCAGGCGTCCTTGCAACAGATGGCAAAGTCTACACTAATTTCGGTATTATTGACCCGAAAACCGGTAAAATAGAAGCTGTAGATCCTAAAACAGGCAAAACCGAAATCAAGCAAGCCGTTACGGACCCTAAAACAGGTCACTTGATACTTACTGCGGGAGTTGTTGATCCAAAAACGGGAAAAGTTGATTCTTCATTAGCTCAACAATTAGCAGTTGTTGATAAAGATAAAGTTCCGGATAAATATGTCAATCTAGTTATAGTAACGGCTAAATACGATCCTAAGAACAAGAAATTAGATTTGAGCAATGCTCATGTTGATACAATACCAGGCACACTCAGAAGTGATAACAAAGTTCATACAGAATTTGGTGGAGTGGACCCTAACACCGGCGATATTCTTTATTCCGATCCTGTTACTGGTAAGCAAGAGCTTAAAAAAGCAGTTGTTGATCCTAAAACTGGTAATATGGTTCTTACATCTGGAGTTGTTGATCCTCTTACTGGACAGGTCGACCCATCCCTAGCCCAACAAATAACTGTCGTTGATCAACCAAAAGAGAAATTTACACCTGTGCCAGGTAAAGAAGCACAACTGGTCGTAATAACAAGTAAATATGATCCTAAAAACAAGCGATTAGAAAGTCCAAATGGCTTTGTGGAAACATCTCGTGGCATTATCGCTTCTGACGGAAGAGTTCACTCAAACTTTGGTATCGTCGATCTTAAAACTGGAAGAATCGAACACGTTGACCCGGATACTGGTAAAACTGAGATTAAACAAGCGGTTGTTGAGCCGAAATCAGGAACTCTGTTATTGACATCTGGCGTTATAGATCCTAAAACAGGAAAATCTGATCCTACACTAGCACAACAGTTGAATGTTGTCGAGAAAGCGAAGCCAGCGGAAAGAGAAATTCATTTAGTAATCATAACTACCAAATATGATCCTCGTACTAGGAAGATTGATCCAAGTCAAGGTCATATAGATACTATTACTGGAACATTAGGTTCAGATGGGAAGATACGTACGGCTGTTGGTACTGTCGATCCAAGAACGGGAGAAATTACAATCACTGATCCGAAGACTGGTAAGCAGGAAACTAAACAAGCAACACTCGACCCTGCTACTGGACACATGCTTATTACAAGTCAAGTTGTCGATCCGAAAACTGGCAAAGTTGATCCAACATTAGCCCAACAGTTCAGTGTTGTTAATAAAATGGTGGTTCCAGTGGCAAAACCGCCAACCAAAGGACAAATTCGCCTCGTTATCATTACTAATAGATATGATCCTTACACAAAATCAGTTGATGCTGGAACAGGCACAATCGACACTTCTAAGGGTTATGTGAGCGCTGAAGATGGTAAAATACACACTGACTTTGGCATTCTTGATCCACGATCAGGGCAAATTCTATACAAGGATCCTGTAACTGGGAAACAAGAATTAAAACAAGCTGAGATTGATCCGAAGACAGGCAATTTCTTAGTAACCACTGCTGTAGTTGACCCAAGAACAGGCAAAGTAGATCCTACTTATGCTCAACAATTCGCTATTGTTGACAAGCAGAATGTGTTATCTAAATTAGCGCCTATAAGAGCTAGTGTGTCCCCGCCGAGGCAAATCCCATCGCCAGTAAAAACACCCCCGCCTACACCGACACAGCCGTCTGTCCAATCGTCTATACGGACTTCTTCACCGATTACTAGTTACGCTCAAAAACCTTCACCGATTACATCTGTTATCCAAAAATCAGCTCCAGTCAAGCCCTCGACAGCGCCCCCCGAACCGCCGAAGCGGAAAATTGTTAAAATTATGGTAATATTTACAAAACTGGATCCCAAGACAAAGAAGCCTGATCTACACACTGCAGAGGTGGAACACTTGACTGGTATTCTCGATCCTAATGGTTTAATTGAAACAAAATATGGCGTCATCGATTCCAATAAAGGGACTATTATTGTCACAGATTCTACGGGTCAAAAACAAACAAGAGATGGTACTATTATGCCTGAAACTGGACAGATCTTTATCAATTCCGGTGCTATAGATCCTAAAACAGGAAAAGTTGACCCTAACCTCGGTATGATTATGAGTGTCGCTAAACAAGACGATCCTATCGTTGATATCACGGCTATTACTGGTCCTATTGATCCTAAAACAGGAAGAGTCAACATAGATGACGGTACAGTAGAACTTACAAAAGGTAAAGTTGACGCTGAAACGGGTCACATTTCTACAAAATACGGTGTCATCGACCCATCAAATGGAGTCATATTTGTTACAAACACATCAGGATCTCAAGACACCAAACCGGTATCAATAGATGAGAACAATGGACAAATAACAATCACTGGTGCCGTAGATCCGAAGACAGGGAAAATAGATTCTAAACTTGGCCAAGTTATAATCGTCGGCACACATATCGATCCTGTAGTAGAAGTCACAACATACGTTGGTAAAGTAGACACAAAGAAAGGAGTTATCGAGCCTAAACACTCTGTCATCGAAAGCACCACTGGTCAATTCAATCCTGAAAATAACACCATCGATACTAAATATGGAACCATAGATTTAGTTAAAGGCACCGTCACATACAATGATCCTAAAACGGGTAAATTCGAAAGCAAAGAGCTGAAAGTCGATCCAGTCACTGGGCAATTCTTACTTAGGAGTGGTCAAGTTAACCCTAAATCTGGTAAACCTGATAAGGATATCGGCAGACTTATATGCTTAAGAATTATCCGTAACAAGGTCGATCCCGTTTCTGGTAAACAGATAGTATCTAACGATCCCAGAAACGTAAAGGTGGACCCGAAAACCAACCAGATTTGGATCGCTGGCCCAAAAGATCCTCAAACGGGTGAAGTGTTATACACAGCGGGGCAAGTCGACCCTGTCACCGGCTACATCATCACTATCTATGGTCGTTTAGACCCAAAGAGTGGATGCATCGTTAGAGCTGCAGATGTTGACAAATCCCTCATCAAAGTCGATCCAGTGAACGGACAGATCTACACTGCGACCGGTGAAGTTGACGAGAACAACCAACCGCTATACTCCGCATCGCAAGTTGATCCAGGTTCAGGAGAGATTTACACGAAACTGGGCAGAATTGATCCCATTTCAGGCAGACTGGTGATAGTCAGAATATATATTATGACGCAGAAAGACGACAAAGGACGAGTAAAGGAGATAGATCCCAAGGAGTGCACTATTGACGAAACGACGGGCAGAATCATCACGACGAAAACCGTGTATCTGTACCAGATTGTCGACCCGATCACTGGTGAAACAATCGACGTTGATCCGGACGATCCCAGGTTGAAAGGTGCCAGGACGACTGTCACGCAAACAATGACGCTCTCCGGCAAGATCGATCCCGTCACTGGCCGGATAAAGACCGAGTACGGCGACATAGACCCCGACACGGGAGACATCGACCCAAGCACGGCTGTCAGAGACCCGGTCACCGGTCAGCTGATCCTCCACTACTCGCAGATCGATCCATCCCACTTCGAAGATAAGAGCGGGAACTACACGATTGAGAAGGAGACTCAAGATTTGCCGGCAAACATAGACATTCAAACTGTGAACACGCACAAATTCTCGACTTTCGGCAAAGACGAGAGCCCGGCGCGCGGCGACGAACCCAAAACCTTCACCGAGTACACGACCAGTGAGCACATCCGACACCAGGGTTACGCGTCCAGCACCCCTCTGTCCTCCAAGATCCCGGTTTCACAGCGGAGCAAGAAGACGCCCACGCCGCCCGTCGTCGTCAAAACCACCACCAAGCAGCTGCTCACCAGAAACGACGACGGCCTCACGCACAACGTTGAGCAGGAGGTCGAGAACCTCGGTACCGGCGAAGTCACCTTCTCCACGCACACTAACAAGGTTCGTCTCGTTGTTTTCCGTTCTTTTTTCCTTTTTTCTCAATTGATTTAACCCCGAGTGGCTTAGTTTTTATTTTGTTATCTAAGCTTCAGAGCTTGTTCGATCGATGTCTAGTATTACGTGTACATAGTAATGCATGGTAGTGGTGACGCACGTAGGCGGAAAGCTTAGAGGCGGCGGAGAAGAGCCCGTACGTGCGAGCCAGGGCGGTCACCACCCGGACCGCGACCACGCACCATGACCTGGACACACAGGAGCGCACGCAACAGATGGAGGAGAAGACCGTCGCCCACACGCTTACCTCCTCCGCTACCCGTCACGAGCAGAGGATGCTCACGCAGCAGGTCAAGACCATGGTCACCACAGGCGATAAGGTAACATACTTCAATCGAGACGATCGAGCGCGACATTATTTCATCGTCATCTTAATTCTTTCAAACTTGAGATCTTTAAGGAACATTAAGAAATTTTTCACAAGTGTTTTACTGATTGCCCGTACAGATTTCTTTACAAATTTATTAGGTTCGCCTTATCATTATTATCTATTATATATTACATTAATATAGAAGTTAAAAATCATGTTAACGAGACCAAGGCATTTAAATGATTTTTGATTCCGTCGTAAACAAGCTAAATCAACATCCGTTAGCGTTTCATATTAGAAGAGTACTATTTAAATACCAAGTTACAACTTAGCAGAAAATTAGTTACAGTTTTATACGAGTAGTTAGCAATAGCGATCAGCTCACATAATTCAAGTATAGGTTTTACACTCAATCATGTAATGAATCTATTTAATATAAGGTATACATAGTAGGTAGGTACACAAGAAATAGGGCGGCAGTAAAACCACATGGCATAACATCATCATAGCATGAAGCATTACATTTTAACTGTTTGGTTTTATTCTAATAATTCTATAGTTTCATTGTCAGCATTTTGGTTTGATTTCTTTATTTTTAAACACGTAACTTTTTTGATTAGTGTGACATCGACATATAAATATATTTAATATATCCGGCACATCAGGTTGCCACCCAAATGCGCCTTACCATCAACAAATTAAGGTATAGAATTTGAATAATTCGATGTGCCGTTGATTTATATAGTTATATATAAAAATGTGTAATCAGAAATGTTACGTGGTGCATGGGTTATGTTGTTCTAATTTTCTGTTTTCTTTTTTTATTTCATCCTTCTATCCCTTATCACCAATGGCCGTACAACAAATCCGCTTGATGATTGAATTGCGACACGATTGATCAACCTACTATTCTTTCTCTATGAAAATGAATATTGGTTTTGCCAAAATCTGTGCACGAAACCAAACATTCCTTATTACAAACTAATATGGTATTTTTAAAACAATACATAAAAAAAAAATTGACTGACCTATTTTTTTGCAAAATTGTTTCGTATGATACATTTTTATATACTAAACAAATGGCTGATGAAACATACTTTTATGACATTATTTTGGCCAATATTAAATACATTTAAAACATTATTACGAACAAATTATAACACTGACTAATCAAACCACAACGTACGTTCTTGGCCGTCACCCAACCTCTCATTTCGAACCATCCTCACATTTGCCTCATCCCCGAACGGGAATCGATCCCGCAGCTTACTAGGCGCGGCTCAGAGAGCTCGCTGAGCAGCGGCGACTCTGGTACGCCGATCGACTTCGAGGAGGGCGCGGGGGAGGGACACTACTACGTCACTGTGAGTATTTCACAATGCTCGACGACACATCTAACTTAACATTAGCATTATAGAATATAGATGAAAGACTTTTCATGATCCGATCAGTATTTCCGAAAACTACCCCCCTCCCAAATAAACAAATATGGAAACGTTACCTTTTCCTAGTGTTAGTGTAAACGTACGATGTACGACTAGAACATATCTCCAGGTGTAAATTAATAGTAGGTACTATAATTTGAATCATAAAAACGTTGACTGGACTATTCTGTTATTATAGTTTAAAGTACTGTAAAGCCGTATTTCAAAGTATTAAAACTTATTTTTGCTCTTTAGTTTTGTCAATATCTATAGGATCTATTTTGCCAACGGAATTATATCGAAAAATAAGTCTACTGTTTGTGTACTGTATTGTTAATATGATAGTATTTTTATATTATATACTTGTCAATGAGAGTGTTATAGTTTGATGTGTCGTCGGTTATACAACGATCGTAAATAGAAATAATTTATCATATCTCAGAATTCTTTCATAAAAGGGTTTCTTCCTTAAATATCATTGGGAGATATGGTGGAATTAAAATAATAATGTCGATTTACTAACTGTAATTTTAGATTCCGAATTGTTCCAAAAAATCCCTATATATATATAAAACTTAAAAAAATGACACTTTTTATAAATCCAATATGTAAATCTTAGTGTGGATATATTGGTGGGTGTTTCTGGAATAAACATGCACTTATATATCGCGTAATTCATAATTGCTGCAATAAATCTCAGATACCCCAAAATAAGCACAACACGCGTTTATTTGAAAATAAACGTGCGTAGTCCACCGACTGCATGATATTTATTTGAAACATTGATTGCCATTGAACCTGTTTTTGTGATTATTTTGTTATATCGTGATCTGTGATGAAAGCATGTTATGTTTCTCTACAATGTTTATCTCTTATACAATCTGAGTACTATTCTCTTTATATAGTTGAGTGTTGCCAGAATAAAATCGAAAGTTACTTTAAAAATAATTATATTGTAATACTATAGTTACACGTTATTTGTATAATTAGTAATAGAGATGTGCCAAATAATGGTTTCACCGAATAACCGAATACTGAATAGTATTCGGTTTAACTTTTACCGAACAGGATATTCGGCCGAATTATTCGCCACTTGCCAAAGAGATACGAAGGCTTGGTGTTTTGCAACATAATTTACCGTAAAATAATCTTAAATATTAAATTTTTATTTCTGATCTCTGTCATATAAAGTGACTATAGTTTTTATTAGCTTTATTGAACCTCTACTGTAACATAAATCTTCCATATGAAGTTTTGTCTTTTAATTCTATACCGACACGGTTGTTCGGCGCATCTCAAATTAATAATAACATATAGTGTTTAAAAAATGTATTTTATGTCATTATTTTATCGAAAATAATTATTCGATATATTTATTTCTAATATGGCATGTTTGTGCATTACTGCATGACGATATTGTGGCGTGTGAATGAAGTGCGTTACGTGAATATAGTATATAATACTATTTTAAAACAGGTACATTTATTAAAAGACAAGGTAAAATATTTATAATATATTTTCTATACATTGGTCACTTGATTTATAGCACCATTTTCACAGATTATTATCATAGTCGCTTTTAAACCACATATTATTCAAAAAGTATATTTGTTTAAAATACACACGTGATATTTATAATTTAATAATCTAAAAATTTATATCGAATATATCAATAATTAACTTTATATGTTATATTTAATAAATTAGTCCGTTACAACTAAGTACTTTTCTTTATTTAACTTATCTTGTTTAGTAATGAATTATAATAAGCTTTCGCTCAGAGTTCTTTCCTGGAAATAAAATATCTCTTAAGTCAATAAGAAATTGATTCGAGTATAATAGTTTTTATGTTGATCGGTGTAAGGTGTATTTTGCGATGTATCGTGTACGGTTTACAGGAGCCTGGTTCATACCGCACGACTACAACGAGCACAGTGATGGGTGACGCGCCGTTTGGCACCATGATACACGGAACCACTCCCAGGGTCAGTATATAATACTGTGAAGCTATTTGTAGTACATTCAACTGCAGAGCGATTCTGTAAAAATCCGCACCCGAATTCAACGTCTTTTAGTGAAGAAATTCTATTTATTTCATTCGTGTATAAAAATACAAAACAAAATTGTTTGATCATACGAGTCTCAGATAATCTATTCCTGTGTCATTTCGAAAATCACTTTACTTATGACATTATATGTTATTACCAATTCAAGATTTAGTGGATGTCAGTTTTTGAAGTGAATTCGGAGTGAATTCGAATTCGGGTATGGATTTTTACAGAACCGTAGGGCTGCATGTCAAACTATACAATTCTGTCAAATTACCCCAATTGATTTTGAGCCTGAATATATTGAGAGTAGAGGTCATCCATAGCAGAGATTTGACATATTATTGTAAACGGACATGCAGCTATGTGCACAAGAAAGGATATTTCGAGCGTCTGAAATGTGAAAGTTAATTAAATCTCACAAGGACCGATAGTAAAATATGTGTTTAATAGAACCAGGTGTTATCTTGCCGAAGTCCGTTTCTATAACTGTGAAACTGATATCAAGTGACTTCCAGTCTCGATGGTTGGTACTGTACGGTGTAACAACTCCTAAAAATACTCCTGAGTTTTGTTGTCGTTTGTACATTTGAATTAGTATACGGGCGGTGCATAACAGTTGTTGGAGATACTGTTTGTAGAATTTGGCTTTTGTCATAGTTTCGTTGTTAAAGGATAGGTGATTAAAATTTGAGCTTATCCATGCTTCGGAATATACGTTAAGCCGTTTGTGTCAGATACATCAGTCATTAACGCACTACCTCCTCTCCTTACTGTATGATTGAATAGGGCCTGTTATTCCAATTTCATCAATAGGGAAAGCCAATACACCATACAGTAAGTATATTAAAAGGCGGTAACGATGATGATTCGCGCTAAAACCTGTTTACGTAAACACCTCGTAAACAAATAATAGATAGACTTTGTGTGCAGAGGAAACTCATAATAAATTCTCATACAAAGAATTCTAAAATTACATTCTTTATCCTTCTGTGCGTTCCATTCGAATTTGATATGCGTTTCTTTAAAAGAGCTAGAAATTTGGATGTGAGTGGTATGTTATTGTTGTGTTGTAGACGAGTACCGGCGTGAGCGGCGCGGAGGAACCGGCGGAGGGTGAAGTGGTGTCCTCGCAGACCATCAGCTCCAAGACCCGCACCGTTGAAACCATTACAGTCAGTATATATACACTTGCAACAATTTATTCAGCATGCTAAATATGACTGTTGATATTAAAAAAACACGACTAGGTACCACAATAGAACTAAATAATATGATTTGACTTCACAAATCTCATTGTAGTCGGGGAACCTCTTAGTTTACTTATATTCCACAGAATGTTAACACTCCAGACAGATAATAAATGTAAATGTTGTTTTTCATATTTAAAAAAAAAAACTGGCTTCAGCCAGCCAGTGTCACTTGGAATTATGTAATGTTCCTAATAATACCCTTTGTCTTTAAAAAGTTATGTTGGAATAAAGAATAAAGAACTAAACTTATTACATAAATTAAACCTAAACTCAAAATAGTTTGGGTAGTCATGTAAAAAATTTCAATGTCAGTATATATCGATATACAGAGTCATTTATAAAACAGCAACTATCTCTCAGGACTAGACAGTGAACACCATAAATAACAACGTTTGTGTTATGACATTTTTTTTACTTTCTTTTTATACAAAAAATATTTTTATATATTTATTGATATAGTATAAGACGGAACGTAACGGTGTGGTGGAGACGAGGGTGGAACAGAAGATCACGATACAGTCAGATGGCGATCCCATCGACCACGACCGAGCGCTCGCCGAGGCCATACAGGTATACGACACATTACATACTTACGTTTCAGGGACACGTTTACGTTACTATGGACATTAGCGTTTTTCAAATGCTTAAGGGCAGTCATATGTGTCAGTTAACTGTCATTTTGACGTTTGATTAGATTCGCGCCAATATGTTTTCGTATATTGTTACTTGAGTTTTCATTGCTCTAAAACTATTGGAGTCTGCATTAATTGTCCTCATCAATATACAAGTATAGTTGAATACAATCCTTTACAGTGTTGTCAATTCTACGTATTTAAGCGTAGATTTTGCACGTCTGCGGACTTCAGTCCCAGTCTTCCCTGCTGTCACACTCATACAATATTCCTAAAACTTGCTATGTAATTTATAATAACAGTACAAGATTTCCTAATAAGTTGCATTTGCCATATGCAATACGTTTTGTAATATATCCATTTCTCAGGTAAAAGAAATTTGGAACGCTTAGTGTTTTCAAATTATAGCATGTTTTTTAATAATTTATATTCAATGACATCATTTTTAAACTATATTTTATGTAATCAATACTTGAATGATTGATTGAGTCATTTCCAATAATCTGAAAATTACACCCGTGATCGGATTGTCGAGATTTACGCCCAGCCGCGTAACTTGACGAATTTTATACGGCTGTCATTGTCTTCGCTTTTTATATCCGTAAAATGAAGCTACTCTGTAAAGACTATTCACCTGGAATAAATTTCACTTTACTAATGTACTTCAGCAAATTACATAGTACGATCAAATAAAAAAAGTCACTTCAAACATCACGATTAATATTAAGTTCATGATGAAGTTACCGAGTGGCCCCCGGGATCATTTTAGAAGTTCGCGTAATTAAACGAATATACTCCTAACAGGAAGCGACAGCTATGAACCCGGACATGACGGTGGAGAAGATCGAGATCCAACAGCAGAGCACGCAACCGTAACGGAAACGAACGCACGGAGCGGCGGCCATCTTGAAATCTAACTACTCAAAACCATAAGGTCAGACTAAAAGCCGTCGTTAACATTAAGCTATATAAATCAACCAGGAGAACAGAAAAACAATGTTGCTTAATTGACATTACAAATGTTTCCAATTATTAACAAATATGGCCGCCAGAGTCATGTAAAAACTTGTATGTATATCGTGGTACATACATAACTAGTTTTAAGCGACATCACTGCGAATACTAATGTATAAGTTTATTTATAAATCATTTTATATTAATTGATTAATCGGAGTTAATTGATTATTATATTTGATGTTGTGACGTCGAAACGCACCTTTACGATTTTTTTACATTAATGTTAAGAATGCAATTTTTATTGTATGTAAAATACGTTAGATATTATTATTGTGAGCATTATATAAGGTTAGGTCCTAAGGCGATATAATACCATCAGTTACACAATTATTCGGCTTCGTAGCATGCATTGTAAGTGTTGCCATAGTTAAAAAAGAAGTGTTCGTGTATATTTTTATTTTCTTTTTTTTTCAAATACGGACTAGCTTTAAAATACGTCACACGAGATAGACCACCGTTGTAGATTAAAAAAAAAAAAATCTCTCTCTAATAAAAAAAAATAAAGTGTGTTGTACGGGACTAAATTATTATATCGATTGATATAGTTTATCGATTGTTTCATAATAAGTCATTCTCGCTAAAAAGAAATGCTTATATATGTGAATTTCCAAGAGGAATCACTGTTACAAATATAAATATTATACTACTAAAAACGGCGGTATTTATAGTTTAAGTACTTTTTAAATGATTGGAAATTGACAAAATGAAAAATTTCTTATAACCGTTTACTATTTCGATAGGTATTCATTACAATATTATAATTGGGTGCAAAATGGGTTTCTGAAAAGATATATCAATAAAATTAAATCAAAATGAAATTGTCATTTTAATGTCAACTACCCCAAGTTAGCAATATTGTTCATTGCAAAATAATTATTTAAACTAATAAATAACCGCTAATTTATATGATGTAAAGAAACACGTACCTTTTCGACATAACGGGGCCCACAATATAGGCGAATAAAAAGAAAATGTATGTTGAATTGATATAAATTTACGTCGTGTTGCTGTATCGACTCTGATAATGTTATTACACACCATTAGGTGCTACTTAGTGTTAGTAAGGTGTGCGTTTAGTGCATTTTGTTCTTTATTTTCGATTTTGTAGTTGAGACTTCGTGGGTTAATCGATTAATTTTAAATATCGTTTTTTAGCGCGTTGATTTATTTCACTCTTTGCACAACTAGAAATAGTTATTTAATCAATACTATACTCTATTTCGTATTCTTTAAGGTTTATAAGATATTAAAGGCTTTATTTTTCAGACGGAGTCCCATTAAGGGTGCTTTTAAGCTAATATACGCTATTGTGTGACTTTTAAGAATACCATTTTTTTTCTATTCTCATAATCTTTGAAATTAGTATCTTTCTTATTATTCTTGTTATAAATAAATTACTCGATTATCTCACGGAATATGCTTAGTCGATGTCTAGTACTATTTTATAGGGCCAGTCGAGCATTTTACATATATCAAAAGCACAAAACGTTGGAAAATGGATAAAAGATAGATTGCTTAGTACAATAATAGACTTTAAACACTCCACATTAGAATGCAAAATCGCTGACGGTGAGCCAATTCACCGACAAATTTCGTACAAAGATGGCAAGCTATTGTTTAGCTCCGTCTCATCAAGTTTCGTTTTTATTCATATTTCAACGTACACAAAATGTATCATCGCATTGCCATGTTTTTTATAATCTATAAATAAATATTTATAAAAACAGGACATTCCAAACAACTGTTCACAAATGCATAGAATTAACTAAGATCATGACACAAAGTGTTTTTTTATTACTTTTTTTATGGAAATAAGATTATTTCTACAAAGCTTTTGCGGCTGTTTTGATTGGATTACGTAGGTATCACAATTTATTAATGTCATTGTACATTTTAATTTAAACTAATTATAAATTATATAATTTTATTATAGCGTTTTTATTATACAATTGAAAGGTCTTGTGTTATAATTTAAATATCTATAACAGTTTTACTTTGTTATATTTCCAAAATCCGGCTTGAAGGATCACTTAATTAAGTGTAATCTTTTTAATAGCCAGTCATTACAGTCGCTTGTTTAAAGTGGGAAATGATACTGATATTGTACAATTATTATTATTATTAATATATTTCTTATATTAGCTAGACGTAAAGTTTTGTAATAGTACATAAGTTTATAATTATGAAAGTTATCGTCACTGATTCAGAATCAGATTTTAATTGTAACATTTGATTTTTTAAATGGATTTGACATTTATTTTTCATTGAAAAGTGTGACGCAAACATTTATTGGAAACAGAAATACATCGGGTCGAGTGTATGGAAATGTTTGTGGCATATTTTTGAGTGTTTTGTTATTGCATTTTATTGTACATTTGGAGAAGAAGAAATTAGTGATGTCAAGTTTAAAATTAGTCAGTGCCTTCTGAATATTTCATCTTATGAATAATGTTGCTTATGTATTTGCCTTGAAAATACAAGGCAATTTAAAAAAAATATCGCTTTAATTACTACTTATGAAGGATATACTTGTGTGAATGTAACCTTATATTATTTTAAATAATTACTATTTAGAAATAAATTTTTGTTGCTGGCATGTTTTTTCTACTTCGAATGTACAAAAGAAACCTTTGTCCTTGTGTTGTCCTCGTATTTATTGAAAGATGTTTATTTTTCTAATTATTCGTCCCAGCTCCGTATTATTTTGTATTTAACGAGATGAAGTTATGAAATAGAAAATAAATAAAAATGCTTTGTTTTAAAATGGTTGTTTCAATTTTTGGCAAATATCAAGTTAAAAGTTAAATTCGGGTCTGGATTTTTAGAGAATGGCAGGTAGTTAGAAATTTTACTTCTTTAATATTAGTATAGATTAACGGTCGCATACAGCAGTCCAGCGGGTTACCGTAAATTTCCTGTCTCGAATTATCCGAGACAGTCCCGATTTTAATGATGTCTCATGTTTCGATTACTTATTTATTTTGAACGATCATTGATAACGTTCGACAATAGTTCTATTTGCTCCTTAGGTATTCCCACTCGGCTACAGTATTTTTTTTATTATTTTCTTATTAAGGCATTATACTTTGTAGTTATACTGCGGGATTTAATGTTGATGTACCTTTAAAAATGAAATGTTCATATCTTGTCAAACGTTCTTTATTTTATAAGGCAATTAAAACTTTTAAATACTATTCACTGACCAAGAAAATACTATGAAATTTGGTTAATTCGTAAATTATATCACATATTAAGTTATTAGTGAAACACATCTTATATTTGTTATTAGCATCCGGAATTTGCACATTTGGCAACACATTTTTCTATTAATAAAATGGTAGCAATTCTGATGACACAAATTAGACCAACTATTAATACAGTCAAACTGCCTTTCCAATTATGTTAACAAAAAAGATAACAGAAGTATAGTACATACTTGTATCTACTTATTACACAACACAATAATTATATTTTTTGAGATTTATACGTATCAACAGAGTAACATACAAGTCAAAACCAAATTAAAATTTGTTTTTCTTAGTTCAGTAGCGACAGAGTTAGCATTATTATCTTTACTTACATTTAATAAGTCTTTGTGAATATTATTATGGCGGCTTGGAAATCTAAAATTTTTTAAATATTTTTTTGTTTAAATACAGTAGCTAACGAGAGTTTTATGAAATTATTTATTCTTATAGATTTTTAATGAATCCAACGTTATTTTTATAATGTGTTCCGGCAATACCGAGCCCGTATGGTGGTGATGCCGCCGTCTGCAGATAGTGATTACCGGTGGTACCAGGCTGTGACGCTATACCCATGTAACTGGAACAATAATAAATATTAGACATCATGTACTTGCTCAGATCCCAAACTTAGTTGAAGGCCTTATGGAATGTCCTAATGGAACCTTTTTAAAATCTGAATCTTTCATGGAGCTGTAAATAAACTGAACCCGAAATTTAATGTTGTTTTCATCTTCGGTGTATTTTTTATTGTTCCCACTAGTGCGGCACAGGCCTTCTCTATGAATGGAATTAAAATAGCGTGATAACTACTATTTAGTAATAATGAATTTCATACATTAGTTTACTTAAAGCCGAATACGACCAATACTTTAGTGAACCTTCAAAATACAATGCTTTGCGGAACGCAAGGGTTCATTTCTGAATTGATCATTTAATTCTAGGCAAAAACTCCTTCCAATTAGTAAGTACTTATTCCCACTCGAATAATCCTTTCGTTTTGTATACATACTGTCTAAGAAAATGATATGTCGTCATTTTGCGCTGTTCACCATATTAGATTTAGAGTAACCGTTTTGATAGACTAAAACATTCCAATGATAATTGAGTGAACCTATTTCATATGACAGGAAAATTCTTGTTACCTTATACCACTGCAGTTCCCTTTCTTGAATTGTTCCCAGCTGTCACATCGTACGGCCGGGAACGCTGTCTCGTTGTACAGAGATTCCCCGAACACCTCCCACGCGCGGTTGTGGCTACATGAGGCTATTAAACAGTTAGGCTGCTGTTCACCCTCGTTCGGGTAGTAGTCCACTTGTCCTGCAATAGATATAAACGATAGATGTCTCTCTTTAAGCCGTTATACATAGTTTCAGCCGTACTTATTAATGGGGGGTTATAGGTAATAAAGGTACCTAAAAAATTGTAGGCAATGTAAAAAATCAGCCAAGTGCGAGGGTTCCGTACAAACCTGTAAGTATTTATTAAAAATATTTTTATTATGTAACTAAAAATTTAAGGTCTTCGCAAAAAATATGCGGCATAATCGACTGTAAGGTAAGGTTAGGTTCCATTTTTTCCTTTCGAGGTACGAAACCCTAAATTGTATGTTAGTAAGCGCGTTAAGAATTTATACGGAGTTTTATAGTTCTTGATAATTACCGCTAGGGGCGCTATGCCAGTTTTCATACTATCGAACCAATATACGTCACTCAAACTCACGCTAGACGCTCTGTATATCTGTTAGGTAATACGACTTACAGATAATACGATAGCTACAACCCTGACAGTTTTATCAGTTTTCCTGAGAATATGAAAGGTCAGCCACTGACCGACGGGTTCCTTCAACCCGGCGACTCCACCGTTAGTATGTATGACGTCTACGTAGTCCGCGTCATTGGCGTTCAGCTTCAGCTCCGGCTCCAGGTTGGAGAAGCACGGCCCCGCTGGGTCTAGCCCCGAGATGCGGCCCACGCGCCGCCCGGTCAGGTTCAAGAACTGTTTGCCCGTGAACCCGGAGATTTGTGCGCCTAGACTGTGACCCACTATGTGAATAGATGACGCCGGAAGACCCTCTGGAATTAAATGAAGATATTCATTATTCTGTCGGACCGAAGGTGGTTTTCCCGGTATTCCTGCCGGTTATTGGGTCCTATCTAACGAAATAGAGTACCGAAAAGTTCTAAAAGGTAGATATCTCGAGCTTAAAGCAGTCTCGACCACACATCCGTATAAGCCATGGTCGCTAAGGAAATGTATTGTTAACCAGGGGACGTCGGTTCAACCAATGTAACTCTCTTAAATACAGGCTATGCATCAACGCTATTTTGTAACAGAATACATCAACCTTATAGTTTTCATTAGAGGTACTAATTATGGTGGAATCACACTAATTAATCCGTAAGTATTTTGATGACCAGACATAAGTAGAGGTTGCTACTATATTGAGTCAGGATCTGGGGCGGCTTGCTTTTGTCTGTTAAATAGATAAAGCACACACCTTTGACAAGGTCAACGAGGATGCTGCCCAGTTTCTCCCCCATGAACCGCACGTAAGTCGTGGAGCGCAGGTAGAACCAATTGATCAAACTGCTGCCATCTAGCGCCAAAATGTTGCACTTTCCTAAAACATAATCTTTCATTTATACATTTCTAAAACATAATCTTTCATTTATACATTCCTAAAACATAATCTTACATTTATTCAAGAGTAGCTCGGTGGCGTAGTGGATAAGCGCCGCGGCAAGCGATCGTTGTTGTTAAGCAACTTTCGCAAGGGTCGGTCACACTACTACAAGCTACTCCGTGCTTCAGAAGGCACGTTAAGCCGTTGGTCCGGCTGCATTTGTAGTCGTATACCCTCAAGCGCATTTATTTTTTAGCTTTTAGTACATTTATATGCAGTATTATTCTGTTTACAATAAAACCGTTTAACTTAAAAAGTTTTTTTTATTTTGAAGTTTTTAGTTTTTATTTCTTAAACTATTTAAGTCGTTGAGTGCCTGATTATTGCAAGGTTTCTTGCCCGTTAGTTTATCATAGAGGGGCAAGGCTATGTACAACAAGATGTGCCTGAATCTTGAGGGGAAAGCGCTAACGACATATCATTTTTATCCACCCTAATGTCATACAGTTCTCGGCGCGCTTTTACTTTTTACCTTAACTTGGGTGGTGTATCCCTAGCCACGTATCATTTTTAGCGACCCTAACGCCACACAGTCCTCGATAGGATACGAGATTTTGTATAATGAACTGTATTCTACTTAACATGCCCTTTCATTTGATATCTTTATTGATGGGATTAAAAAAACGGGCGGTCATCTTGGATTCGCAATAATGTTGAATGTACATAATTGTATTGTCACCAGAATCAAAGGCGTATACCAAATTTCAGATCAATCAGTTGACGGAAAGAGGGTGAAATTTCATTTACTAAATTTGACTCACTACGAAGGAAACAAACGGGGTAAGCTAAATAAAACCGTTTAAAAACCGCCCAGGACGCCCAAGTCGGACAAGCATCGAACCCGTCACAAATCTGATCCGATCATGAAAATTCTTCCACCTACGGCAGATTTTCTATTATACCTACGGGAAGCTGCGTCGTACGTGGGTGACATAGGCTATTATTTACGCGGGCGAAGTCAAGGCGAAGTCGTGGGAAAACAACAGGTAAACAATATTCTTAGACGCTCTATTCTTTGCAAAGGCAGAGGAGTAGTGTACTTTAAAGCGTGCACTTCCATTTCAAAATAGTACGCGCTCTCAACATTCAAAATATGTTTAGGTATGTCTTCTTTTCTCCTGGTCGTTCTGCGCAGTCTAAGTAATGTTATTTTATCACAAAAGTTTATGTTACCAATCGAGATGCGAATGATTACAACATGATTGTTTCCATTTCTCAGTGAATCATGTTGACATTGTATTGTTGATCGCGATTACGATTCGTCACAAACGAGTTATTTTAGTGAACACAAGATCGCATGCATTTGATAATGGAAAAGGTAATAAATATTTTAAACCAATCTCTCATCTCAATCGGTAAAGTTGGTAGTAATATTAATTTATTATGTGTATTTTGTTTTCCTATTTAGATAATTAATTAAACTTGTCAGCTATTCAATTCTTTTAAAAAACAGCCTCGAACTTAACGTCTCAACGCTGTCACGTCATAGAGCTTCAATGGAATAAAATCTTTATTGGTCTTTGAAGTAAGTTCTGTTTGGTTGAACCTTAGTATTATGTATGACAGGACTGTTTTTGTGACAGAATAGTACTACAGCTCACGAATTAATTAATGATAATTATTAACTACATCAATTACGAACTCATTCCTGTAGAAATCGTAAGGTGAAGATGTGGTCCTACTGGATGATTGAGACAACGGAGGCTAAAGGGTTATACTCTCCCTTCGAGCTAGGTGTTATTAGCACAAATTTAAATTACTTTAAACAAATGAAACACCAGAGAAACAAAAGAGGCAATTAAAATAATTCTATCAATATTGATCAGAGACGCTTTGTAATTTTATTGTTTTTTAGATTAATAATAATATACTTAACGTATTAATGATAATAAATAATTATATGGTTAACACATCGTAAATTAACCCTAAGCGAGCTGTGTGTAAATAGGTGGTATCGTTGTTGGTTATTTTACTGCTTACATTAACTTTGGTCTTGTTTTTATTGTAGCAACCAACTTATGTACAATAAAAATGTTTTAGCAGTCACATTTATTCTTAATGAAGAATAGATAATGCAAAATTGATCATTTAATTATAATAAAGTAAGAGATGTTTTCAAAATTACTTTTTTCTTGTAAAGCGTATGGTTTATATTTTTATCGATTTTGATGGAAACGTTAACGCGTATGTTTCTATATATTCCAAAGATCCATTGAGTTACGTACTGATTTTGATAGATTGATTATTCTTAATGAAAAATGCTTAAAAATCCACTTTGTCCTTCGCACTCTGACATGGGTCTCGAACCCAGGACTTTTTGTAATCCGGGCGATAGCTCTAACCACAAACACCCAGGATTTAACAGGACTGACGAATTTTTCAAGCACTTGTGATTTTTCGCTACTATAGAGCGTATTTTCTTCAATGTTCAAGGCATTCCACCCGAACAGAGCACGAAAGATTTTTTGTTTTATATCGGGTTGTGTTTTTTAAAATACGATAGACATTTTATATCCTAATATTTACATACATCATTATATATCGGTATAATCGTTATTATAAATATGTATGGTGAATTGCTACATTATCTCGTCATTCTTAACAGCAACTTGATCGCATCACTTATGTACTTATCACGGTCAAGTAATGCAAATTGCTTTAACATGTTTTGTTACAATAATACAGGAAATAAGTATAAAATCAGTTTATATGGCAAAGTAGAGCATCCTCAGATCCATTAAGAAAGTCGACGCATGTATATTGACATTTAAAATAATAAAAAAATATTGATGAAGGTATCTATTGATAAACTAAATACCGATAATTTTGATATATCCTTGCTGTTCCTACAACAATCGACTCAATATTTTATAGAAGTCGCGGGAAAACAGCTGGTAATATATAGAGAAAAAATTTGTTTCCTTGTTTGTATTGAATATGCTCCTAAACTACTAGACCGATTTTCGCCTACGGAATGCTATAACATTCGTGGGTAACTTGTACGCGGGCGAAGTCGCGAGAACATAGTTAGTTTATTGTGCCTTAATCGTTTCGTTCTAGGCAGAGTGGTCATTGGCTTTCTGTTATACGCAGCTATTCTACTGGTACATCTATGGACAGGGCAGTTTTGTTGTCGCCTTTAATTAGTCTGCAAACATTACACATACAAATTATGAGTTTGACAAGTCAAGATTTCGGTTGGGATAAACCATAGTTAAGTAACTGCTTTTTAATTGGATTTTCCGCGTACGTCAGCTGTTTTCGGAATCCTTGCAGGTGTCTGTCTTTATACTCAGTAGTAATATTCTAAGTTTATGGATAACCTTATAACCCTAAAAATAGTTTAACATGAAGTCGTTTTTACATTTAGTTAAATACCTACCGTTAATAATGCCGCCAATTTCGCTGTACACTCTAAATTAATAAAACATTTCAAATTTTAATTTGGCATAGATTTTGGTATAAATTTCACACCTTAAAGTTTGAAATTTTTAAAATAATAGTAAAGTCCTAAGTAATGAAATAAATATAGTTTTCCACAGCAAAATGATTTATGCATTTACTTCTATAAAAATTCATAACCCTTAATTTTTAATGGGGGTATAATAGTTTGTAATTTTCTTACGTTGAGAAACTTAGATATTCATGTTTTAGGCTAGTGTACCTATCCATTTAGAAATATTATGCAGTTTTCTCATTTTTATTATTTGTTTTGTACATAATCAAGTACATGCTAAAGATTTCCATTATGCATTCTCGTAAGATCTGCATATCTTTTCCGATAGTACGAACATCTGACCACTTACCACTGGTCTAATATGTTAGATAAATTCTTTATTGGCTTCTACTCGCATAACCTATTAAAAACCTTATAAAATATTTAAAGCATTATATATTTTTTTACACTTAATGTAAAAAAAGAGAGCCAATATCAATATTAAGTGACATTTAACAATGAATAGTATGTGCTGCAGCGATACACATAAACGAAAACTCAGTGGATATTATGTCATAGAGCCTAGCGTTGATTTTCGATTGAAACTCAAAATTTAAGTATATCCTACCTTCTTGTTTTATTGTAGGGAAAATAAGTTAAGTATTACTCCACCGTCTAATAAGTGACGAGGTTATGTGGGATGTGGGCGGATGTGTCATTCCAATTAACCCTGAATCCTACCCACTAAAATCTCACAGTATGCCGTTGCATCAGGGCTAAAACTCGCAAAATCAGTTCTTATGAAAATCAATAAATCAAATCAGTTTACTCAAATCCATGGTTCCTGCATTCTTTTTTTATAGTCATTGCAAAGTTTGCAAGGCTTAATATCCAATATCCAACTCTTCAACGGTGACATTGCCAGATCATTAATGAAAATACGCTCCGTAGTAACGAAAAAGTAATAAGTGCTTGAAGAATTTGTCAGTCCCATTAGGTCCTGGGTAGCTCAGCGGTTAGAGACGTCGCCTGTATTGCAAAAGGTCGTGGGTTCGAATCCCACCACGGAGTACCAGGGTCAAAAAGGAGTTTTAAGCATTTTTCATTAAGAATATTTTCCAGTATAGAATCGCGAATGCAAAATTGATCAAATATATGAAATTAATAAGTTTTATAATGACCAACCTCTATGGAGGAATCCATTGCTGATGGTCCTGAATGACTCCTTATTCGGGTTGTCGGTGAAACCATGTATGTAGATCACGAAATGTTCATTGTTGAACTCCGGCGATTTCGGCAGCAGACGCGCTGCCGTGTTGATGTTCAGAGATATGTTCAGCAAACTACAAGATAGCAAGAAATTATCACTGATAGGGGAAATCCAGGAGACTTGATCAGGGGTGAGACCACCTAACTCTATA